CAAATATATACATGAAAAGTACGTGCAGAATGCGGGACTGGCAAGCTATAGTATCAACAGTCACAGAAACTTAATACATTTGTGTATGTTCAAACATTTATAAAAATACGGAGTAAGGAACTCTAGTATAGACTGTCGTTTTGTCTAAACAACTGACCTCTTTATAAGATCAAATACTAATTAGAATTCATTAAATAAGGTATTATGTATTTAGTTACTGTTAGAGGAATACATGAATTACCTTCCCAGATGACTTAATTCCCTTCCATATGCAAGCATAGACAATACACCAGGCAAATATGAGACAGAGCAACATCTTCCATTTAATACCGTCAGGTGACGACAAGCTCGGCGAGACGTCAAGCGCGTTCCTGTACCAGAAATATGACGTAGATCCACCTTTTACGCATTCTTCCACCTCAATGGTTTTATTTTCAGCCTCGTTAAATTCTGTTGGACAGGAAGCCCATGGAAGTGGGCTTTGGAATGAGTGGAAAAGATAAAAGAAACACCACATGATAATGGCGTTATAATATATAGCAACGTTAAATGACGTCACGGCGCTTGCTAGTCCGATTCCGCCTAAAAGCGGGTTTATCTCGTTCCATACTATAACAGTCCCTTTCTGCATTTTTTGTCCAATAGCAAACTCTAAATACAGTATAGGCATTCCTTCTGCGAACAACATGATTAGGTATGGTATTAAAAACGCTCCTGAAACGAGAAAATAAATGAATTTTAATTTGTTTTTCTTTTAAAAACTCTAACGTTCAACTCGATAAAAATAATTATAGAATACAAAGAAACTCTGATTGCGCTGATTTAGATTCAATATAAGATCTGACTGAACAATGTAGACCAAGATTCATGTTTTGAGAGAGAAAAATGTTTTGGTTTTTTTTGGGGGGGAGGGTGGGGGGAGTTGACGATGACGACGGAGTGTGTGTACCTTCACTGTTATATTAGTAGCATCTTTTACCGCCATAAGGCTAGCGTTAAATGTCATCTGAACATTAAAATATGCAAAGTTCTTACAGAACGGCGGCGTTTATATTAACATATGATGATACTAAATTCAGTGAATTCAGTGGAGATTTAATTTGGTGGGATTTTAACTATCGTCACGCATAAACCTTTCATATTGAAGACAATGCAAACATAGTCGTTTAAACAGTGTCTAAAATTATTTGTACATTTTCGCTTTAAAAGCCAAAGTTTTAACTTTTCCATATTTGAAAATTTTTGCTGATTATGTGTAATTAATTAATGCGTTCGTATCAAACATTATACAATGTATATAGGCGCTTTTATTTATTGTAAATATTGACAGATATAGTCAGCCCTTTCTGCAACTTTGTACGTGCAAATAAAAAACTTTTTTAATAGTGTTTCTATATGGGAAAATTTCTAAAAGTTATCTAATTCACAAACTCAATCAGATTAAATACATTTAAAAACAAAAGATCTGACATTAAAACAAACTTTTGGGCACAGTCCAACTTGATTATTATCTTTTTCTTTTTTTCACATGCAAATACACCATTATACTCATCAAACCTCTTGTTCCTATTAGGCCTTTATTGCATGTTATGATTTCTTTATATCAGATTACAACTCAATAACGTCAATAAATGATAAGTGGTTGTAATATGATGACCTATTGTAGATAATAGCCAAATACATTGCGAATAAAAAGCCGGACTACATTTCGTTTACAATGTGAATAAAAAGCCGGTCTTTTACAATGCGAATAAAAAGCCGGACTACAGTTTCGTTTACAATGCGAATAAAAAGCCAGACTACATTTCGTTTACAATGTGAATAAAGAGCCGGTCTTTTACAATGCGAATAAAAAGCCGGATTACAGTTTCGTTTACAATGCGAATAAAAAGCCGGACTTCATTTTCGTTTACAATGCGAATAAAAAGCCGGACTACAGTTTCGTTTACAATGCGAATTAAAAGCCGGACTTCATTTTCGTTTACAATGCGAATAAAAAGCCGGACTACAGTTTCGTTTACAATGCGAATAAAAAGCCGGACTACGGTTTCGTTAACAATGCGAATAAAAAGCCGGACTACATTTTCGTTTACAATGCGAATAAAAAGCCGGACTACATTTTCGTTTACAATGCAATTAAAAAGCCGGACTACATTTTCGTTTACAATGCAATTAAAAAGCCGGACTATATCAAACGGACAACATTTTCGTTTACAATGCAAATAAATAGTCGAACACCATTTTCGTTCACGTTGCGAATAAAAGACATGCTTAAAAATGCAAATAAAAAGCCGGACTACATCAACCGGACAACATTTTCGTTTACAATGCGAATAAAAGCCGGGCAACATTTTCGTTTACAATGGTCTAAATTTCCTGACTAGATTGTCGTTTACTTGTTTAATAGAAGAATTGAAAATAAAATATGAAATATTTAAACATCATTTACAGTTTATATGTGTATAAGTTAACTATGGTCTATGCCATATACATGAATTTAATATATTTTTTAACGTATCACAACAAAAATAAGTGTTTGAATGACATCGTTTCATTTTTCAAATTCTTTGCTACATTTAATTAATTAACTGACACTAAATTTGTCATTAAATGCAATTTATCACATTCGCACGATGTGAAGATTCAAACATACTCTTAATTTTAAATAAGCATTAACTACTATCTAAAACTTAACATAATCAACTATTTCGATTACAATTTAAAGGGTTTTTTTATTACGGTTTATATTAAGAATTTATTACTCTATTAATATAAGTTCACACTTTAGCTGAGTATATGTTTTAATCAATGTTGTGTAATGATATTTTTAAAAAATTACATTTAGTTTTAAATATTTGTATAATTGTCTGAATAAACACATCATGAAATTTGGTGCTGTGTCTTTTATCAACGTCATATTGACATTCAGAAACATTCTGTTAGAATATCATTGACTTCTTCAAATACCACCATTCTCGATATTCGAGCATGTATTGTGCACGTGCAGAAGAACAATAATTTAATTTCGTATTTGCATGTCATTTCGGCACTGACATATTTCCTGTAGGAGATAGCGTTCATATAGAAACGTTCAGCTGGCCTTCATATACAATGTCAATTGTATTACAGTAAAGGTTAAACATTGTAAACGATTTGTCAATTAGACCGGTAATTAACTTCAGATGATTTCCGCAAACATACAATTTTTTGAGTATTTATTAGTATACAGTATATTAGAATAACACATGTTAACTACTTTAAAGAAGTTAATAAATTATAAACTGACATAGTTCATGCAAATATTTACTACACGTGCTCACTGAAAGAAATGCTACACAACACCACGTTTATGTCAAAAGGTACACTACTTAATACCAATAGGGCTACACATGTCCAAAGGCTAAACAACACCGCTTCAATGCCAAAAGGTTGCTTGAATTACTTGAATTGCACGACATTACTTTACTATGAAAAAGACTACACAACATTGCTGTTCGAACTGAAAGCCATGAGGTTAAACTTTTTATCATTCATTCATCATTCACTGAAGATACTGGGTTGTTTAGATTTTATCAACTTGATCATCAGCGGACATTGTCCTCGTGAAGAAAGGAAGCAGAACTCCTGTCTAGCTGCTCTAAAGTATAATTGCCCTTTACAAGTGTCAATTTACGAGCGGTTTTTATTTTCTATTAAAATAGCAGGGATTCTTTTGATTGAAGAAACCATAGGTCTGGGTTCAACATGGTTTTGGACAATGATTTAAAATCATCTTACCAGGTGAGGATCCAGAACAAGAGACATTCCATATTTCAGGGGGCGTTATGAATTTTAATGTTGTTGTTTTTCAGAGGGGTTATGAGTAAGATTTTCAAGAAATATGCAAGTTCAATTTCATATTTCAAAGGTTTAAACATAATAACCAAATCCGAGGAGGGGTCATGACCCCCTTCTCACTCGGGATATCCGCCATATATAAGACATACAATGTACTATTTTAACTACATTATCTCTAACTACCCGTGTACCGTAACTTAATTATATTAATGTATTCGCTTAACCTTACACAATGAATAAAATGAACAACAACAAGAACGGTATTCGGTGACAATTTGAACTGACCTTTGTCGGTAATCTATGTTTGAAATCATTGTTGTCCAATAGAATTGCAGTATTTTATAGGAATGGCAACACGTTTAGTTTAGTAAACCGGCTACCTATTAGTCAGTTTAATTAATCGACAATTTAGATGAAGAAAAAATTTCAAACATTAAATAAAATAGAATCAAAGACTGCGCCATTCTTGATATAATTGTTGAGATTATTGTTTATAAGCACAGCCATTCGTAAATGTTACTTTAAACACTAACCGATGTAGTGTTTGAAATCATTTGATATCATTGTTCGCCTGACTAGTCTAATGTAGCCGATTTTCAGCTCATCAGTAAATGTGTACGATTTATTTGAAATACCCTACATTCTAGTGGACAAAATAATGCAAAAACAATAATTTTTTTGTAAATGCTCACTAAGATATAATTATAGATTAGTGTTTGGTATTTGAAGATCGTTCAGCACGACATTATTGTTGTGCTTGTAGTATTTTTAGTTTCTACTTTTCGGCATTTTCTAGTTGGGTGGTTCCAATATTCCTACTTGAACAAGCAATTATCATAGTATTGCAAGCAATCCATAAGTCCCCTACCGGTAAGAGCCCAAGCAACATTCTGAAGGGCCATTGGCCATTCACTTAGGTTCGTATTTTAAGTAAATTTGTTGAAAAAGTTCTTTAAAAGTGATCACAGGAAACAGTTTTTATGTACAGACAGACGGACTGAAGGACACTCTAAAGTTATTTTTTAAACATCCCTGTTATCAAAATATAACATTTTTAAAATCCTATCATGATTGAAGAAGTTGGAGTAAAAATTACCAATTTCTCAAAAAAAAGTCTAAGTTCAAAAGGGGCATAATTCTGGAAATAGTCTTGCTAGAGTATTGAACACTCATAAATGTTGAGTGACAATAAGAAACATTTATATGAAGTTTGAAGTAGATACATTCAGAAAAAGAAGTTATTAAAAAAAACAATGTTTTTTCATGAAAATTTTAAGTTCAAGGGAGGTAATTCTGATAAATTTTGTGCTAGAGTTGTAAACCTTGTCACATATGATGTGGTTGATGACAAGCAACTTATATTTAAAGTTTGAAGAAAATACCTTAAGAAATAAAGAACTTATAGTGAAAAAACTTAAAAACTAGAATCAGAAATCTTGAAATTCAGTCTATTTGTTGCCATAGCAACCAGAATTTTCAACATAGGAAGATAAAAAAGGATGTGCATAATTTCCATACTGCCATCTACCCATATGTCAAGTTTCATAAACATATTTTCAGTACTTTTTGTGTTATCACTGGATCCAGGTTATGTGTAAAACTTGCCATATTTTCAGTCTATTTGTTGCCATAGCAACCAGAATTTTCAACATAGGAAGAAAAGAAAAAGATGTGCATAATCTCCATACTGCCATCTATCCATATATCAAGTTTCATAAAAATATTTTCAGTACTTTTTGCGTTATCGCGGGATCAAGGTTATGTGTAAAATTTGCCATATTTTCAGTCTATTTGTTGCCATAGCAACCAGAATTTTCAACATAGGAAGAAAAGAAAAAGACGTGCATAATCTCCATACTGCCATCTATCCATATATCAAGTTTCATTAAAATATTTTCAGTACTTTTTGCGTTATCGCGGGATCCAGTTTTGTGGACGGACGGACTGACGGACGGACAGACGGACGGACTGACGGACGGACGGACAGACGGACGGAGGGTAAACCTAAAGTCCCCTCCGGTAAACCGGTAGGGGACTAATAATGTTGAATCACCCTTAGGATATGTTGCCTGCTTTTTAAATTTGTCTTTTGACGTCTTATCTGTGATACGCAGGCTTCATAACCTCTGATCCCCTTTCAAAATTCCATTTTATTTAGTTCCGCCCATTGTTTTCTCGTTTAGGGCACACGCTTTTTATTACTTGGGGACCATACGCCGCTTTTCATGGAATGGCACGGAAGTGTCACATTGAAGGTTCCATGATAACCGCCGTATGAACACATCTGCGGATGTTTCTGAATTCAAAATTTTACTATTTCATGTTTAAATGTTGAATTCTGCTTAAGCCGGTGCTAGGGGGCGTGGACGGTAACTTGCACTTTCCAGTACCGTCCATGAACAGGCTCAATCAAACCGAGCCTGCAACATTTTCAATTTTGCCGTGTTGGGCTTTCTTTAGGGATTCTGTATTTATCTATTTTTGGAAATAGAATGGCAGCATATCAAATGACTTATAACACATTTACTTGGGTAAATCAGCTAAATTTAACCAGTCTAGTTAACCGACAGTTTTCAAACACTAAACTGTTTTAGTGTTTATATTTGCAAATGTTTACTAATAAACACAAACCTATATACATAAAAAACGATTTAGAGAAGAATGTCAAAAATGCTATTCTTTTTCTTTAATCAATCTTAGTTTAAAGTATGTAAATTTACACCAGTTTAATTAATAGTTGTTGTTTATTGTGCCAATGTGTAGCCTGAGGTTTCAATATTTCAGTATCAAGGTCAAACATGCGTGCACGTGTTTAAGATAGGAACGCTGATGCTTCAGCCGTGATATATTGTGACTCTAGGAAAATAATTCCACGTGTTGGTGTGGTGTAAAATCTCGGTGGCTTATCAATCTATCCTGTACCACAGTTCTAGGAAATATATATTCTGCTTTTTATTGTCTGTGTAGAAAATGATACACAATCTAAATATAAGGAACATTTATACATGCGTATGGAATTAATAACAAGTATGACATTGGTGAAGATCACGTTAAAGTACAGATATAAATTGCTCGTTTCATTTACAGAAAGATGATGTTCTGCACGAGTTTTGATTGGTGTATCATTTTATGCACGTTGCTTTCATGAGCTACACTCATTAGCTTACTTATATTTAATATAGTTTTTGTGACAGCTTAGATTTGACTTTAGTGTGTGTTTTGTTGTTGTTGTTGTTGTTGATTTTAAGTTTGTTAACCTAATGTAAAAAAAAACAGGCACAATTAGTGTCACCCAAGAATGTTTAATGATATATGGTTATTGTTAAAGGTATGTTATTAACATCATTCATTAAACGGTACATTAAAGTAACACAAAATCTGTAAAATGTTAACATTTTGCATATAATTTTAGCAAATCTGGTTTTAATTAAACTTGAAATGAAGCCAAATATATGACGAAATGCACTTATTTCTCGTTGTAATATTAAGTGTCAATTAATGTAATATTATACTTCGTACGTTTAAACTTGATTATTATTATTAGAATGTTTAGATTTCACTATCTTGTCTTCAATGACTTATTAACGTATATGTATAAAAACACACAATATTTACGCGCCATTTTTACAGATATAATCAACATTTTATAAATCTTGGAGAAAACGTGTAATTTAACACGTGTTTATAAACACAAAAGCTCTGCATATTTTATAAAATCGGTCACCATACACACAAGTATCCATCGATTTTAACAGAGTATTACGGCGAGGTTTGTAAAGATGGCGCAAACTACAAATATAATATAAATTGATATTGCTGTAGAACGAAATCAGTCCATTTGCAACAGCATTTTCTAGTAAATAATTATTTAGAAGCGTTTCCAAGGAAACGCATGCGTATTGCAATTAGCAGGGTAGATTAAAATAGACATACCACCGCCGTGTTGCTGGACTAAATACGGAAATCTCCAAACATTTCCTAATCCCACAGCATAACTGATCACCATAAATATATACTGCCATTTAGAATCCCATGCTTGTCGCTTCTTTAAGGGTTTTTTAGATCCAGTTTCTGTGTTTAAAGGCTCTAATTGTTCCTCAGTATCAACATTGTGTAATTTCTCCTTTGCCATATTGTTTTCTTTATAATCGATATTTAACAGTTAATGTTGTTAATTTAGTCTGTCTTGACTTTTCACTCATAAAACGTAAAACAGACTTTTTCAAAATAAGTTCTACAAATATTTTTTATCCGATTAAAGCACTGTACTGGTTTATTTCATGTGTTTAAACTCTCACAGAATATAGAGGTATATACTCCACGTGGCTTTGTATTATAGCAAATAAAACATATTCGCTGTAGAGAACAGTCGTATTCAAGAAGGCTGTACAAATTTAATGTTAAGTTAGTTACACTAAAATCTGTTTATCTTAATGGCGTCGAATAGTTTTTAAAAAATGCCAAACATATCTAAATGATTGCTGCTAAAACAATTGGAAGGAATCGATGACTTATTGAAAAGGTCTTAATTAAGAGTCAAAAGTAAACCGGAATAATTATGTATCGTACGTTATCTGTTAAACAACAGCTCGAGAAAAAGTGTACTCATATTAAACCTCAAGTGGCGCTAATAAAATGGTGTTTTTTTGTTGCTTTTTTTTTGTTGCCGTTTTTTTTAATTAATTCTCCAATATATTTAGTTTCTATGTAAAGGAAAAAATATCAAAGTGGTTTAACATTATGTGTTCATTACATACATTAGCCACACCGCACATGAAAATTACATACATTAGCCACACCGTAAATGAAAATGACATACATGACCCATACCGTACTTGAAAATTACATACCTAAGCCACACCGTACATGAAAAAAACATACATTACCCATACCGTACATGAAAATTACATACCTTAGCCACACCGTACATGAAAATAATATACATTACCCATACCGTACATGAAAATTACATACATTACCCATACCGCACATGAAAATTACATACATGGCCCATACCGTACATGAAAATGACATACATTACCCATACCGTACATGAAAATTGCATACATGACATATACCGCACATGAAAATGACATACATTACCCATACCGTACATGAAAATTACATACCTTAGCCACACCGTACATGAAAATAACATACATAACACATACCGTACATGAAAATTACATACATTACCCATACCGCACATGAAAATTACATACATGACCTATACCGTACATGAAAATTACATACCTTAGCCACACCGTACATGAAAATAACATACATTACCCATACCGTACATGAAAATTACATACATAACCCATACCGCACATGAAAATTACATACCTTAGCCACACCGTACATGAAAATAACATACATTACCCATACCGTACATGAAAATTACATACATAACCCATACCGCACATGAAAATTATATACCTTAGCCACACCGTACATAAAAATGACATACATTACCCACACCATACATAACAAGTGTCATAAATCTTGCAGCAATGATTATTACTCAGTGTAAAATATTGTTTTACTCTAACTTTTTCATTACAAGAAGGATTTTCTTTATATTTTAAAGATCCCGTATGTTGTAATTAAGGATGTAACAAAACTTAAGTGAAATTTTAAATATGTAAATAATTATTCTTCTAAAACAATTTCCAAACATCCAAGAATATGTTAAAGATGTACTGCAAATGAAAGTAATCTTAAAAATATATAATTCATTTCTTATTGAAAAATATGGCTTAGACTTCATCGAAATAAAATTACTTATTACCTCCCTTTATTTACATGAAAGATAAATTCGGTAATATCTTCGACGCCCCGTGTATGTGTCGAACCTACAGCGGTTAGGGGCTACTACTAACCACAGCGTCTGTTATAACGAAGAATTAAAGATCTTTACTTATATAAAGTATTTCAATATAAATTGAAATATAAAGTAAGAAGTATATCTTATGTTAAATTAACTAGTTTTACTAAACGTCCGACTGTAAAGAGTGAGCGGGACAGGAAAAGCAAACAGTGCGCAGAAGTAAAACATATTTAAAAGAACCAATGGATATCTCTCTCATATAGAATCATACATAACAAACACAACAATTGGATAAGTACAACAAAGAACGAGTGACCAGTGTTCACGATATTGCACGGGTGAGATCGACAATGTACATCAATGTTCCGTTTGGACATAAGTAACATTTTTGTCTCCCTGAACAGCTATCCCAATGGTACAAAGGTGAAATTGAGATGGTACGATGGTACGCTGATTAAAACACGATGGCACGATGGTGAAATCACGATAATACGATGACACGATAGGGGGAAATAATATCGTTTTCATCACCATGCCATCGCAGTTTCATCATATCGTACCATCGTATTTTCACCATCGTAACATCGTCTTTCACCATATGACCATCAGGTTTTCATCATTGAGCCTTCGTTGTTTCACCATCGTACAATCGTTGTTACACCATCGTAAAATCGTTGTTTCACGTTCGTACCATTGCGTTTTCACCATCGCTCCATCGCGTTTTCAGTACCATCGTGCCATCGCGCTGTCAACATACCATCTTGAACGGGATTTAGTATGTTTCAGTGTACGCCAATCAATTTCTTGAATTAGAGATATAATAATTAATAGTTCACTTCAGGTTTTCGTAAAGAAAGCATAAGCAAACCAATTATTGATTACAATTGGCATGTGGTAAAACGGCGAACCTCAATTCTAAAAAAAGAATTTCTGTCGTGGGAAAATATGTGACAAATAATTTATAAAAATGACATGAGACAAATGTGCTTTCTTGTCCCTTAAAAACGCATGAGACAAATGTGCTTTCTTGTCCCTTAAAAAACTTGATCGGAGCACATTTTCACACAAATGAGTTTTTTGGGGTAGACATTTGAGGTCCCATTTGTCTCATGTGGGACAAATGCGACCGCATCGGTCTTACGTAAGACAAATGTGCTCCGAGACAAATGTGCTCCTACAACGGTGGGCCTAGCTTGCAATTATCAGCAGCGTCAAATAACGGGTTCTATTAAACAGTGTCTGCAACATTTTCAGTGTTTACGTTTTGGGCATTCTTTCATGACTTTGTTTTGGGAGTTCCGTTTTTTCTCTATTCTGAATAAATACTTCAAGATAATATCCCGTTAACAAAACAGAAGAATATTTGAAGAACTGAATTCAAACATTTTTATGTTTTAATCAGTGAATGTATTGCAGGAGTTTTTATATCGTCTTCATGTATAATGATGTATAATTATGATGTTTTCTCTGTTATTTAAGAAATATATATCACATACAAAAAAAAAGAAAGAAAAAAAAACTTTTACAAGAGAGGTCTATCTTTTTTAATGTACATTCCCGACTTTAGTGTTTACGCCATGGCTTTGAAATATACAATAAAGATAGGGCTTTAACCACTAACATGCTATATACATTTAGGACAATATTTAGATCTAATTTTGTTTAAAACATTTAGCAATGTTGAAGTAGGCCTATATTCTATCAATGTTGCATTTGTAAATGACTTATATTCAACAAACACTTATATAACTACATTTATATATTTAAGGGTGTTGTGTTTAGAGCATATTCCATGTGCATGGATAAGTTTATTGCTTTTATATCATTTGTTTCCAACATGGTTTTATTTCAAAACATTTCTTTTGTAAAAAAAAGGGTCAGTTCTGGACGTATGGTTGTACAATTTGGTATTATGTTTTCATTTTTATAGAAATATAAAATGCTAATGGAATTGAGTATTTTAGCAATGTATTAAACTACAACATTAAAGGGATACTCATACAAATTAATGGCAAAAATATTAAAATGATATTATGAACTCAAATCACGCTAAAATGGAATTTTTAAAAGCACAGCATGAATTTCTGTATTAAATTCTAAATATTTTTTTTTGGTTTGAATCGTAAAAATATCTATATAATTATAATGAACAAAATTTAGGAGGAGTAGGTTTTTGTGACTTGAACAAACTCAGGAAGTTACAATAACAGATACACGTACTGTGGATATTGTATGATTGAAACGAGTCTAAGTCATTCATTTGACATGTTCTTTAACGTTTCCAAAGTTCTCTTTGACAGCTATTAAAAAATCTTAACACTCTTACCTGGCCCATGTGGGTCAGGTTAGAAAACTATCATTTAATACATTATAGTTCCTGCGACTGCCTAGTATATTCATTTTGAGGCCATGTACAGAATAATGAATGAAAAATTCAAAATGAAGAAATGAAAATTTTGCCAGAGTCTCCCTTTAAATGTTTGTATAATATTGTTGGTGTCTTTATTGTTAATGTTTTTAAGACTTTTAAATTGTTTTCCACTTGTAGAAATCTATCACAAGTTTATATCCGTTCCTGCAACCAATCAGTACTTAGCAATGAGAGTAAAGTTTCTTACTCAACAAAACTGGAACCAGCCAGTACTAAGCAATGAGTGTAAAGTTTCTTACTCAACAAAACTGGAACCAATCAGTACTGAGCAATGAGAGTAAAGTTTCTTACTCAACAAAACTGGAACCAGTTAGTACTAAGCAATGAGAGTAAAGTTTCTTACTCAACAAAACTGGAACCAGTTAGTACTAAGCAATGAGAGTAAAGTTTCTTGCTCAACAAAACTGGAACCAATCAGTACTGAGCAATGAGAGTAAAGTTTCTTACTCAACAAAACTGGAACCAATCAGTACTGAGCAATGAGAGTAAAGTTTCTTACTCTACAAAACTGGAACCAGTTAGTACTAAGCAATGAGAGTAAAGTTTCTTACTCAACAAAACTGCAACCAGCCAGTACTAAGCAATGAGTGTAAAGTTTCTTACTCAACAAAACTGGAACCAATCAGTACTGAGCAATGAGAGTAAAGTTTCTTACTCAACAAAACTGGAACCAATCAGTACTAAGCAATGAGTGTAAAGTTTCTTACTCAACAAAACTCGAACCAATCAGTACTAAGCAATGAGTGTAAAGTTTCTTACTCAACAAAACTGGAACCAACCAGTACTAAACAATGAGAGTAAAGTTTCTTGCTCAAACAAAACTGGAACCAGTCAGTACTAAACAATGAGTGTAAAGTTTCTTACTCAACAAAACTGGAACCAGCCAGTACTAAGCAATGAGTGTAAAGTTTCTTACTCAACAAAACTGGAACCAATCAGTACTGAGCAATGAGAGTAAAGTTTCTTACTCAACAAAACTGGAACCAGTTAGTACTAAGCAATGAGTGTAAAGTTTCTTACTCAACAAAACTGGAACCAATCAGTACTAAGCAATCAGAGTAAAGTTTCTTACTCAACAAA